CCCCGCGGGGGGGGGGTTTTTGGAAAAACTGATGTGGGAGGAATTTTTATTTTAAAAAAAAAAAAAAAAAAAAAAAAAAAAAAAAAAAAGTTAATAGCAGGAGAGGGACGCATTTAATTGTTGGCAGCATTATCTCAGCCCATGCCCTCCTCCAGGAAGGCACCACAGCCAAAACAGAACACCAGACCAGCTGTAGCTTCTATGGAGAGAAAAATACCGAGAGAAAGCATAAAATTAACAGCTGTAATAACAGCAAATAATGCAAATTGGAAAGTAGTGGCAGAAGAAATGGGGGTGGGGGGCAGTGGTCAGTTTGTCCTCCAGCGGCCCAAGCCTAACACAGCATAACTACATAGACAACTCAGGATAACTTAACCCCTGAGAATGGGGCATGAGAGAGGACAAGAGAGTGCACCCTACCTCCGTCTACTCACCCCCTTGACTGGGAAAACATCTGCTTTAACAACATGCTTCATAAAAAAATAAAATAATTTTCAGCTGAACATCTCAGAGAGCACAGATCAGTCTGTCATCTAAAAGTGCAGATTATGGCACAGAAACACATAACTTAACATGGTCATTCACCTAAACTGACACTATACTTAAGGTGAGCATTGATTAGAGAAACAGCTAAGAGGCCTGTGGTATCTCTGGAGAAGCTGCAGAGACAGAGCACTCATGTGAAAGAATCTGTACCACAAAAGTCCAATTTTCTGTTTGCCACAATCCGTGTAGGAGACAAAGCAACTTGTGGCCAACATGCAAAATGGCATGAACACACATGAATCTTGTTGGTGAAAAGAAAGAGAGCAAAATCCATACAAAGTATTGAGACGGGAGGGTGGAAAACATATGCATTCCACACTTTTGAGATTATTTGTACAAAGTTTTTACAGCCATGTTTCTTTGTTTCTTCCGTTTCAGAATTAGTCGTCTTGCAATCCCAGTAAAATACACTGAAATTAACAATTTTGCAAGGCACTGTATGTGGACCCAATAAAGATTTTGCTCAGCTCAGATGGTTATTGAATCCAGCAGGCCTGGTACCATGCTAAATACAGGAACCAATGCCAGGTAGGGACCCAATGAAGGTCTAATATATCATATTAGAAAATCAGTTGTCAAGAGTTGTCCTGCACCAGTTCTATGTAGGCATTTCAGATGAGATGACTGTCAATGTGTAAATTTGTGTAGACGTGCAAATTGTGAACTGTATGATGCAAAAACACATTAAAAATCTGGATTGAAATTATGATTCAAAGCATGCAAATATCCCATGAAAATCACTAAATACGGGACTTCTGGAGCATTGCTGCGAAAATACATTAAATTCCTCAAGGCTAAAACGCAAAAACTGAAAATCAGTGCAGCATGCATGAGGATTCTTATCTAAAGCAAGCTAGTAATCACATAAAAACCCCAAATGTATTTTTTTTACTATTATTTTATTTTTTTTTATTTATTTTAGAGCAATTAAGTACTAAAACACATCAAATATTTCAGGGGAAGCTGGAAATCTGTGCTGCATGCATGGATATATTAAAGTAGAAGAAGGGGATATAATCCCAAAAAAGGACTAAATACAGACCTTACAGAGCACGCGTGAGCGGTACGCGCTTGCGTGTGGGAAGCAAGAGAGAGAGAGAGAGATTTAACTCATTGTAATGCACACAACGACCTGCCCTCTTTTGAAAAAAAAAAAAAAAAAAGAAGCGAGGAGCGAGAAAGCGCAGCCATGCTTTGCAGGGGCTACAGCGTCGCTCTCATTGGTAGTATGAGCCTCCTCGCCAAACGGAGTGTGTGCTTTGCTCGCCCGCTCGCCGCTGCACCGACACAAACCGGGAATTTAAGGCTCCGCGATGAAACGGTGAAGTAATCACAATGACGCCCGAAAACCAAGCAGGACGCGGATACATATGAGCTCATTGTGCTGGGATCCACCATATGGCGCGGACCGCTTCATGGTGAGTATCTCGCTGGGTTGCGTTAATCAATTATTTACGAGTCAAATCTGCGTGTTTTTTTGGGGGGGCTTCAAATGTCCCTTTATTTATCTGCGAACCGAAAGAAGAAGCTGTTATCTGGAGATGTTTCGAGACGTAACGGTGCTGTCTCCTCTCCACTGCACGTTGCACTTGCCATTGTTATTGCGGGCTCTCGGGAATGAAGTAGTTCATGTGCAATAAAAAAAAAAAAAAATAAAATTTAATAAAAATATTTAAATAATAATTATATA